TCGAATAGATCAACTTCCCTGCAGGGGTGCACCAACTTACCCAACACACTTGATCCCATTTGGCCGGACACACTTTCCTGGGTCATGCCCGGCCGCGGAAGATCAACACGTCGCAGCCCCACCTAGGCTCAACAGAGAGGTCAGCACGCCGGTCTAAACCTAGGCGCCCAGGGGTCTGGGCCCATCACCCTGAACACACCTGCACGTTGCGAGGGCGGCCGAAAGCAGACCTAGCCTAGTGGCGTTCCAGTCCAATTCGGCGCGCGCCGCTCAGTCGCTGACGTCACGAAGTGCTTCGGCTGATACCACGACGCCGAGTGCCCATATCTTTCCCATGTAGTTGGTTAGTGCGTATAGGCTCGTAGCCAACTCAGATCAAATACCAAGATCTCGTTAAGCGTGTTAAATATCCACGAACGCCGAACAGGGCCAGGCCCACCTCTCTCCTAGGCGGTCTCAACCTGCCCTGTCGCTCCGCCTCAAAGATCCACTCGCGGGTGCTCCACCAGCCGACCCGACTTTAGTCTCCACATGTCTCATGTATAAAGTATATAGTATATACCCGTGATCACCTCCCGAGTGATCACGGCCCGATAGTAGAGCACAGCAGACGGACAAGAATGTAGGGCCACAGATGGAAATACTAGCATCCTATACTAAGCAAGTAGGATTGCAGGTAAAGGTAACAACAATAGTAACAAGGACAGGCTATGCATCAGGATAGGTATAACAGAAAGCAGTAACATGCTACACTACTCTAATGCAAGCAGTATAGAGTAGAATAGGCGATATCTGGTGATCAAGGGGGGGGGGCTTGCCTGGTTGCTCTGGCAAGAGAGAGGGGTCGTCGGTGATGTAGTCGACCACAGGGGCATCAGCATCGTCACGGGGTCTACCGGAGAGAAGAGGGGGGGAGAAACAGTAAATACATAGCAAGCAAGTGCATAACAGGACAACAAGCAGAGCTAGACGTGTTCTAACGCGGTAGTAGGTGATACCGACGAAGGGGGAAAGCATCCGGGAAAGTATTCCCAGTGTTTCGTGTTTTCGCACAGATGAACCGGAGGGGGAAAGTTGCGTGTTTGATATGTTAGGGGTGTGTGGTGGACGAACGGGCTGCGTATCCGGAATCGTCTCGTCGTTCTGAGCAACTTTCATGTAGAAAGTATTTTCATCTGAGCTACGGTTTATTCTCTATTAATTTTAAAAGATTTAAATCATTTTCAGGATTTATTTAATTATTTTAATGCAACATTATCCAGAACAGTGATTGCTGATGTCAGCATGATGTCAGCATGATGTCAACAGTCAATAGAGGTTGACTGGGTCAACCTGACAGGTGGGTCCCACCTGTTAGGGATTGTTTAGCTAATTAATAGTAGTTAATTAGGGTAACTATTTATTAGGTTAATTAATCTTAATTAGTTAAACTAAACAGGATTAGTTAAGTTAATTAATTAGTTAATTAATTAATTTTATTATTAATTAATTATTTATTATATTTTTTTAATTCTCTTTTTTTAATAAAAAAATGTTTTGGGCGTGGGGCCCATCTGTCATAGCCCCAGGGGCCTTAGTGGGTTTTCGGGCGCTAGTGGGCGCTGGGCGCCAGGTGCGGGCGTGGCGGTTTCGGGCAATGGGTGCCCGTGCCCGAGGCCACCGCAGCGAGGGCGCGAGGCCCAGCTGCGTCGGCGGCATCGCTCGACAGCGGCAGGAGGCGGGAAGCAGGGGAGGCTCCGAACGGCGACGGCCCTGGCGGGCGCGGCCAGGAGCCGCGGGATGGAGGCGGTGGTGGCCGGGCGGGCAGCAGCAAGGGGGACCGGAGACCCTCCATGGTCGGGCTTGGTCAGAGGGGGCGTGGGCGCGAGCGCGCGCTGTCGGCCACGGTCGGGCGCGGCCAAGCATGGTCCAGAGCGTGCGGGAGCTCGACGGTGGACGCGCGTGGAGGCAGG